GGCACAGCCCCTAATTGAAAAAGCAAAAGAAAAGGCCCAGTCTACAAAAAAAAAAAAAAAAAAAAAAACTGTGACAGACAGTAGAGAGAAATTACTAATCAATTGTGAGTTGTGGCATATTCACACAAACGGTAACACTAGTTTTTAAATCAAACCAAATCATATTAGTGCTTTACAGTTAAATTCAAATGAAGAAACTCAACCAGTGCAATAGAGCAGGATTATAACTGATTTATAAAGTGCCGAAGGTCACATGCGCAAGGGTGAAGAGGGCGATCCTGGTCTGGAAAATATTTCGGCCTGTTTGCCATTGATGCATATAATCAGACAGTGGCTGATGGTGAGCTCAGCAGAATAACCAAAGTGGCAACTAAATCATGTTATCGGCAGAGCAGAGCTGAAATCATGTTTGCTCCCCTGCACCTTAAACAATCCAGTACAAAAAATGAATTTAAAAAGTCCAACATGTCATTCATTGTGTTCCTTAAAAGAAAGGTGATGTTTGCCAGAGGCCTGTCCACTGCAAAGGTCATCAACATGCCTAAGTCACCAAGCATAGTTCAGCTTTTAAACCGTCACGTTTGTGTAAGTTACTATGTTACCAAGAAGCTCTGAACTAAACCCGCTTCAGTACCGAGAGGAAAAAACATCTTAATTACAGAAGAAAATTACAAAAAATAAACGACTACGATCTCTAAAACTGATGACTCATTTTCTTTAAAAGACATTCTTCGAATGATGAGCCCTGTTTAATCGCACACATCGTTATATTACTAATATAATCATGTTTAATCGGAGGTTTGAACAGTAGTGCGTCATCCTCAACCTGTTGTTTATAACTTGGCAAATACGGTTTAGTTTTGTGCCTGATGTGATGACAAATGTTTGGAACATAAAATCAAGCAAAAAAAAAAAAAGAAAAAGAAAAGGTTCAACCGGGCAGCAGTTCCAACTTTTTCAAGTAATCCAGCAGACAGACTTCATGTTGATTTGGACATTTTAAGTCCAACTTCTCCATCAGGAACTTCATCCGACCTGCCACTGAAGACAAAAACAAAAACAAAGATCAAACAACCGAGCTGGTTACACATCCAACATGAAACCTCTGCATATATAATACTGCTGTAAATGTTATCGAGATCAAAGTTCAATAAGATATATATGTCAGAGATAACAATAATCATAGCCCTTTTTATGGCAAGGATTACTGTAATGTAATGTGTAAGCATCCTACAGCTTTACCGAAAGACACAATTGAAGTTTAAAATTAAAACGCGTGAAAAGAAGCATGAAGCCAAAGCTAAACGTACCTTCAGTCCACCGCCGCCAGACACAGACGTGGTCATCGCCTGCTTCTCAGTTTCTTCCTGTTTCTTTCTTTTCCTTTCAACTGCTTCTGGATTTTTGACACCCCTGTATGCCGTCTGGAAATCAGAGAGGAAGTGGAGAAAAAAAAATGAAAACCCAGCAGGAAACGGCAATGCTCATTTCTGATTTCACTGAATGTTAGAAATACTGTGTACACAGGCATGCATCTGTGCTGTTAACAGGATATTCTGTTTCAGCTGCAACCTTTCAGAATAAAAGGCATGATCTAGTGTGCACGCATTCAACCGCCAAATAAGGCATCGCAGTAAAAAGACGCAGCAGCTTCTTTCACTCTCGGTGCGCTGCCTATTCTAACGGTGGGTTAGAGCTTTGTGCTTTTGCTTGCAGCAGCCTGAACTGTAAAGGTTAACACATAACAGTGACTGAGAGCAGAGAAATGTGGCAGTAAAAGTATTAGCCAGCCTCAGAGGTTGGCTTTCATTTCCATCTGAATTGACTTACCTTGATTTAACTTTAGCATGGCTCTTACTGGTTTGCAAGTGTCTTTTCTGCACAATAGAAAAATGCTCACCACACTGCGCAGCAGTTCTTAAATACAAGTTACCAAATGTTCAGATGTTTATAATCAAGAAATGGCTTTTTGACGACATGAATAGCATGGCTGAAAAATGATATAGAGAGGAAGGATTTCCTTTTTTTTTTCTTTATGGCACACTGGTGGGACTGTTTTTAAACCGTGGCATTTTTTTAATTTTTTTAATGAAGGTGAATATGTATATCATCAATATATTTTAGATAAGGATACTTTTGGAAACGGTGTACTTATGTCTGTGACCACAGGCTTATTTTATGTGATCGGTCAACACAAATTAGAACATATTTTTTAAGCAAAATGAAAAGGAAGATTTTTGTGTTACAAATAAAAATCTGAAAAGTATGATGTGCATTTATATTGAACCTTCCTTGATCCAACATTCATAAATAAAATCCTTCAAAAGTCACTTATTTAACAGAGTGTGTCTTTGTGTAGCTAAATCTTTGTACAGCTGTCATGTGCAGGCCACACAGAAACATCCAGAGGAAGGAAAACCACTGACTGCAAGTTTAAAGGTCGAGTTGGTTACGAAAAAAATATGTCTACAGTAATACACTTTTCAATCCATAAACGAAAAACCATTTTAACACGAGAACAAAATTTACATTTTTGGCCTACAATCAAAATGTTGCCTGAACATATGATTCCCACTGTGAGATGGCGGTGGCAGCATCATGCTGTGTGGACAGGAGGCTTTGGAGTAACAGTGATGAGACAGTTGGTTAGAGTTGATGGGGCTTTACAAAAAAGTCATTTTATGAGGTTTATTGAGGCCTGGAGTTTACTATCGAGAAAGACAACAACCGCAGTCAGGGCTGAATGTCTAAGAATGACCCAGTCAAAGCCCACACTTAAATCAAACCCAGAAAACCTAAAACTACAGGAACATGTTGCTCTATAAGCTTTTGAGAACAGCAGTTGTTTAAAAAAAAAAAAAGCAAACCAACACGTACCTTACTATGCACCGCTTTTTGTTGGTCTAACACGGCTTGTCGATGTTTACATGATGGGCGTGACCCTAGGCCACTAAGTTAATAAAACCAGCTTAGCTAAATACTAAGTGTCTGACTCAAAATCTGCAACGGGAACCACCCAGTACTGACCTCTTTTTGTCTCTTCTCAGCGGCTTCAGCCAATTGTTGTCTCCTTGTCTCCTGTTAAGGACAGAAAAATTCATGAAATGACAATTATGTGCATAACATGTCGCTGTTTACTTTAAACACGTTAAAAAGGGCCTTTTCAGTACAAAGAGTAACAAAAACACATTCTTCTTGGCTTTGTTACTCTGTATGTCATTCTGGCTCATCTATAGCGACATATCTAACAGGAAATGTAATTAATTACATTAACTTACAGGATCCGGGGTGACAACAACGTCGTCAGCTGCTCCACCAAGGCACGGTAAGCACATTCCCATTCTGGAATAATTTTATTATTCCACGCAGTAAAAGAACGGCGTAGAAAATTAGTTTTCAGTTTCTCCAACTAATTAAACCAGAAATCTAATAGGCTATTTGGCCAGTCACAACTTGTATGCGTAGGAAATAAGGCAAAAGAAGCGGCAGCTTCTACTCCAGCTGACAGCCGCTGGGTCAGCGGACATACCGTTTCCGTTAGCTAACAGCGGTTCCTGCTATTAGCCCGGGGTGGACATTAGCATTCTAGCTACCTCCTAGCTTAAGCTACCACTACAAGCCAAGCTGCTTCTCTTAGTCACATAATAAACCGTTTCCCTCCGCACCTTTTATTAAATCGGCGCCGCATTTGGAAAATAAATCGCCCCAGAAGTCAGATACCTAGAGTTCAACACGCCTCTTTGCCCGTTTGTTTGTGCAGCTTTACTGATAAAGCCAATATGTTACGTCGGTTACGTTCAATAACGGTACCTTAATAAGCGCTGATGACGTCACGTGCATTTAGTTTTAACGTGGTCATCCAAGAAATTACTCAAATAATAAATATAAAGCTATGTGCAAATGTGGGTACTTTAACGACTAAAATAAAAAATATATACATGTTTTAAAAAGTAGACATTATTATAAATTATGTTAACATAATTTAGAAATAAATCAAGGCACAAGAGATATTTTTCTTTTTTTTATTTCAACAAAGGTAAATCATCACAGGGTATTTCCAGTCACAACTGTTTGCTGTATATACACTTGAACTAGGCTCAATAGAGAGAAAATAAAATAAATAAAATAAAAACAATATTTCACATTTTGTCAGCTATAAAAAAAGATGACTTTTGTCTTTCATTTATATTATATGTCATATTTTGGCTTTGTTTATCTTTTACTTATGTAATAATATGAAGTAGTGCTGGTCTACTTGAGTGCAATTTTTTGTACTCCCTTCAGATGAAGATCATGTAAATTCAAAGAATTACAAAAAAAACAAAAAACAAGAAGACAGTGACTAAAATTTTTGATAAGTAGAAATAAAAAAATAGAATTTTAATTTGATAGTAATTTCTTTGAGGAAATTCATTGTGAGTAAAGTTTTATGCATATTATTGTGTTTATATATGTCTGCAAGAAACCATTCTTCATATTGATGGATGAAAACATGGAATCCTACGACTTTTAAATAAAGTCAGTATATGTATTTAATCACTCCTTTGACTACATCAAATAATTGTTTGGGAATGGCATTAATCACAAACGATTT